AAACCATTCATATCCCCAATAAACATGACAATACCTCCCGCCTACCAGACATCTGGAAACCAGCCCTAGTCAACAAACGAGCCCCACCCACCACCCAGGCCGTTACAACACGAAACAACATCGGACACACAGCCAGCACCAATCGGCACCAATCTACCAATCATGATACAACCACACAACCAATCATTCCACTTACTGAAACAAAGCCAGCACTCCACACACCCCCACCAAGATTTATAGAAAGACGGCAGCTCCGGCCACGCTTTAAGCCAAAAACACCAGCCTGAGGATGGTGAGTGAGACCTCGCCAAAACGTTGCCAAGACAATCTCAATCTTACATGGGAAAAGACCTGAATACAACAAGACCAGTATATATGTGTGTATGTGTATGCATGTATGCATGTATATATATACACATATACATAAACATACACATACTAGCTGATAATCCGGTGTTGCCCAGGTATGTATAGATGTTGAAATGTTTGTCTGACAGGGAGCCATTGAGAGGGGCCTTTTCCCAATGCCCATCATCCCTGCCCTCTCCCTTCCCCCTCCCATGTGCTCCTCTTTCCCGCCCTGTCTACAATCACAAACAATTGCCACTCTTATTCTCCTTAATGGGCCAGACGTTCCAGAGTTAATGCTGGAACACATACACATACACCAGGGGTGTCTCTCCCCCAGCCCCCCCAGTATTTATTGGGAGGGCCACACAGCTCTCCCAAGCTCCATTTTCACTGGCAAAAACACCGTGCGCCAGTCCTTTGCTGTTTCCGGGGCTGCCACACAGGCCAGATCTAAGCACCTCGCAGGCTGGATTTGGCCCGCCCCACGTGCCTTGAGTTTGAGACCCCTGTGATAGCTGTTTGTTTGTTTATTCGTGTTGGTTACCTATTTCTAAAAACAAAACAAGAGGTCTCTTCTCATTTGTGTTCTGTCCCCCCTCGTCTTGTAGGGCAAGCGGCCGGTGACCCTGATTGGGTTCAGTCTTGGCGCTAGAGTGATCTACTTCTGCCTGCAGGAGATGGCCAAGGAGAAAGGTAGGACAGGTCCCCCTCCCCTCTTCGGTTTTGGGGTTCCTTCTCTGAAACTCACCCCCTACAACTTCTCGGTGCGGACGACCAAACCGATTTCAGCTTGCTGAGCTTAGAAATCTCCCCTGGAACCGTTTTGATCATCCTACGAATTTCCTTTCCAGTGTGATGACCAAGGGCACTGCACAGAGATAACACAAATTGATGGCAGTTCAAACCGCCCCTTTATGGCCCCAAATTTCCCCAAACCCTCCCCCGTTTCTGGCCAGTCACAGAGCAAAGGGATGACAACCCCACACACACACCTCAAGCTGACTCTGGCTGCAACTATTCCAGCCCAGTACTGTGTACACCAGAGCTGCACAGCAATAAATCCAGCAGAGCAAATCAAGGAGTTCAGGAAGCGAAAGAGCCAGGTAGTTAGTTCAGAGCGCCAGAAAGAATGCAAGGACTCTTGGGAAGTTCAAACGTCGGCACTCAACACTTCAGGGACTCGGCGTTTGTTCCTGACAAATGCCCCTCTCCTCAGCGTCCCCTTAAGCCTCATTCCCCAGTTGTGCCTTGTGAAGATGGGCAGGGCACTCTTCTCCCTGAGTAGCCTGCTCAGTCAACGCTATTCTCGCCTTCTCTCCGCTCTCTGTGCTCTTGGATCAGGAGCGGGTGGTCCTTGTTCCTCGCCTGAGCTCTGTCTCTCATGTTCATCCTGCCCTTGTTCCTCCCTGTCTACAAGTTGTCCTAATCCTGAAAGGCCCTGGCCTGACTGGCCCTCCCCTTCCTCATTTTCCTCCAAAGCCAAGAAGCCACCCCCTCAATCTCTGTCGGCTACAGTTCCAGCTCGACTTCCCCCGCGGATTCAGACTCCAACGGGAGCATGACATTTAGCCTGTTCTATTTTTCCTTAAAATATCCCCATTCTTGATCCACCATCTGTCATTCTTATAGACTTGGATCTGGGTATTAACGATACTTTCCCCCTCCTACACGCACGTGCGCACACATACACACTTCCGTGGCTGGCAAAGAAAGAGAAGGAATTTAATTCCTTACAATTGTTTGACAGATGTCATGTGCCATGGGGATGTCAAGAGATCGTTCAGCCTTCTGGCTTCTTGCAAACATAACATTCTCCATCTTCCTTGCCTAACTAAAATCTGTCACTGTTGCAATGGCCACCCTAACTTTTCTCCCACCAAAGAAAGGAAGTTTGTAGGTCAAATCTGCAGGAGGCAGTTTTCCCCCAGCAGATTTCAGAGAGAGGGAGGGAGGGGAGAGGAAGAGGGAGAGGGAGGGAGAGAGAGATGAAGGGAGGGAAGGTGAGAGAGGGAGGGAGGGGGAGAGAGATGGAGAGGGAGGGAAGGAGAGGGCGGAGGAGGGAGAGAGAAGGAGAGAGAGATGAAGGGAGGGAGGGTGAGAGAGGAAGGGAGAGGGAGAGAGATGGAGAGGGAGGGAGAGGGTGGGTTAGGGAGAGAGAGATGGAGGGAGGGGGGAGGGAGAGTGGCTAAGACACTGAGCTTGTCAATCAGAAAGGTTGGCAGTTCGGCGGTTCGACTCCCTTGCTCCGTGGAGTAGCGTGAGCTCCCATGACTTGTCTCAGCTTCTGCCCACCTAACAATTCAAAAGCACGTAAAAATGCAAGTAGAAAAATAGGGACCACTTTGGTGGGAAAGTAACAGCCTTCTGTGCGCCTTCGGGAGTTGAGTCATGCCGGCCACATGACAATGGAGACGTCTTCAGACAGCGCTGGCTCTTCGGCTTTGAAACAGAGATGAGCACCGCTCCTTAGAGTCGGGAACGACTAGTACATATGTGCAACCTTGACCTCTTTTCAGATTGCGAAGGGATCATTGAAGATGTGGTGCTGTTGGGGGCCCCCATAGAAGGCGATCCGAAATCCTGGAAACTGATCACCAAAGTCGTTTCAGGCAGGATCATCAATGGCTTTTGCAGGTACTGTTGGTCTTAACTGTGGTGCGTACACACAAGCGCACTCCTTTTTTACGTTTCCTAATTTCTTTGAAAATTGGCTTTTCAAATTTTGACACTTCACTGGGCGACTTCAGCTCTCTCCCAGGACATAGCCACAGGCTTTAAGCTGAGGTTCTGAGAAGAGATCCGTTTGCTGGGATTTAATCTTGGGGAGATTAAATTTGATTTCTCCCCCACTCCTCCCCCCCCCTATTCTATATCCCAAAGCAGTGGTCCATAATCTTTACAGCTGCACACGGCTAGTCTAGTGAAGAGAAGGACCAGGGGAGACAGGATAGCAGCCTTCCAATATTTGATGGGCTGTCACAGAGAGGAAGGGGTCAAGCTATTCTCCAAAGCACCTGAAGGCCAGACAATGGATGGAAACTGANCTCCCTGCCGGACAGACTTGTTAGCCTGCGGTGAGAGAGAAACTTTTTGCCGGGGCTGCCAGCACTCCTAATAAAGGAATCTTTGCGTTCACTTCAGAGGATTTCTCGTGGTTGGGGAGCTGGGTCAGAACAGTCTGCTTCAGCCTGTGAGGGGGGTCTGATCCTCGGCTTTGGCTTCCCTTGCAGGTCAATGGCCACCTGGACTACATGAAGCAAATGGACGGCATCCTGAAGGCCGTGGGGCTCAAAACGAGGCAGCAAGAACAAGGGGGCCTCCTTGGGATTCTTCCCCCCAGCGAGGAGGAGAAACAGGGGATGCCTCCCGACGGCCCAGCCTCTGAGGGGCCCAGTGGGCTGGGCAGGCCTGACGTGGATGGAGCCAAGGAAGGGGAAGGCCTCAACGGCCATGAAGACTCCTGGTGCTGGGAGCCAGTCTCCGCTCCTGGGCAGGAATGTGAGGTTTCTCCAGCCAGGGTTTCTAAAGAGGAACAGCCTCCTGAAATCCTCTCCCCATCCTCCTCCTCCTCTCCCTCTTGATATCGCCCAAATCTTCTCTGAGGACCTCGGGGTACCCAGACACCCGGAGGAAATGCATTTTGCACAGACGGAGCCGTTCCGAAGGACTGTGTCTTTTTTCTCCTGTGCCTTAGTCTCAGACAAGCGGGGCACCTCAGAAATGCTGACGTCAGAGTCAGCAAGCCCCTCTCCGCTCTTTTTCTCCGACGCCTGGTATCCTGCCCCCGAACGTGGAGGTGTTCTGACCTTGGCTTCCCAGGATCATGAAGCCGACTCCTCGTCCCGATAAAACCTCTTTTATTTAAGTTAAAGGGAATCCCTCTCCAGCAAAATCCCAAAGTCTTTCATGAGATTTCACAACTACAGACCTTGATCAGGCTTGGAGAGCTGCCAGGCCGATATCTTCGAAACTCCACGCTGTAGCAGCAATTACTTGGCAAGTACTCAGGGATGGATCTACACCCAAATGAATTGAACTCATTGTCTCCTGCAAACTCCACTCCCCTTTCGCTCCTCTTTATTCCCTCTGGGAGGGACCATTCCTCGTCCACCTGTGGCCTTACTCCCGAGTCGACCCCTGTTCTTTAGCTGTTCCCTTCATCTGGCAGCTCTGCACATGCGCACATCNCTCTTCATTCTCTGTTCTTCTTCCTTCCCCTCTTCCCTTCTTTTCCCTGCCTTGCCCTCTTCACAACTTTCCCTTTTCCGTTTCTGTCCTGTCCCTTCTCGGATGCTCAAAAGGCAAAAAGGGGAAACATTTTTCCTTTTGTTTTGTTTTTAGTTTGCTTTGATAGCCTCCTGCCAGCAAAAACGGGGCTGGGCGCATGGAAGGGCGCGTGGCCCTCCCCAGCTCCATTTTCGCTTCCGGAGGCACCGCAGGCTGGTCCTTTGCTGTTTCCAGGCTGGCCCCGTAGGCCAGATCTAAGCACCTCGGTGTGTGTGTGTGTGTGCGAGTTTGACACCCCTGATTTACCTCATCACAAGAAGACTGTCCAAGCAGGGGGCTTGGCAGCAGAAATGACAGGGGGTGGGGGGTGTCTCACATTGCAGATTTTGTGAGTTGTTGGCCTCTAGAAGTGCCTCTTGCTCCCCAAACAGAGTCCAGGGCCAAATGGCTCCTTTATTCTCTTCTCTCCCCCCCTCCCCGCATTAATTCTGAGGATTGTGGTTCTGCTGCTAAACCTTGATTGATTTCCTGGCCATCTGCTTTCCTTGCCGCCCTCTGAGCTCCCGGCTGGCATCGGAAGATCAGAGGCGCATTTGGGGACTTTAGACAAGATTTTTTTTTTTAATTAACGCTCCAGCCTTGCTAAAAATTAAAAGAGCAGAGGGCGGGAGAATTGTCGCTAGCGGCATATTGCCTGGTAAAACAGAGGATGAGGATCAGGAAATCGGGAAACTCAAACCCCTTTTGGCGTTTCAGGATAATGTCGTAAAAATATCCCGATAAAACAAACAAACAAACAAAAAAACCCAAAGGGAAACCACAAGCAACCACAAGTAATAAATCTTACTTTAAGATCAGAGGTTTATTGTTTCATGAGCAATTTAGAACATGAATAGCCCAATATAGCATTACCTACATTAACAACTTATTGCAATGAGGTCCCACTACATAGCTGAATCCAGCAGGGATTACTGTATTTTTCGGACTATAAGATGCACCGGAATATAAGACGCACCAAGATTTTGAAGAGGCAAATTAAAAAAAAAAGTTTTTGCACTCTGCAAACCTCCAAAAAAGGCCCGTTTTTTCCCCCCCCAGAAAAAGGGCATGAATAGCCTTCAGGAGGCTTGTAGAGTGCTCCTGGGGGGTGGGGGTGGGGGCCAAATAGCAATAACAATAGCAGTTAGACTTATATACCGCTTCATAGGGCTTTCANAGGCAACAGTAAAAATATTGGGTTTCTGCCTGGATGGTCTCTTGTGACGAGCCGGGGGTTGTAAAAGAAATCTAATATATATATATCAGCCACGAAGCCGTGTTTCTCGGCCTTAGCGGCTATAAAATGTGTGAACTTCAATTCCCATAATTCCTCAACGAGGCTTACTGTATTTTTCAGAGTATAAGACACACCTTTTTCCCTCAAAAAAGAGGGTGAAAATCTGGGTGCGTCTTATACACTGAATACAGCATGTTCGGCCACCCAAAAGCTTGCTCCCTTTGCAAAAATGGACATGGAGAGCCTTTGGGGGGCTTATAGGGTACTCCTGGGGGCTGGGGAGGGCAGAAATGAGCGGAAAACAGGCCGATTTTGCTCTGTTTTGGGCCCCCAGGCGCACTCTACAAGCCTCCCGAAGCTCTGCATGCCCATCCTTTTTTTGTATGTGTGCAAAAAAACGAGACGTGCAGAAGGTTTGGGAGGCCTGCAGAGTGCAAAAACTTTTTAATTTTTTTTAAAAAAACCTCTTCAAAATCACAGTGCGTCTTATACTCCGGCGCGTCTCATAGTCTGAAAAATATGGTAATCTGGGAGTTGAAGTCCGCACGTTTTACAGCAGTGAGAAAACATTTCTCACGGCAAGGTGAGATTTCTTTCCCATCTTCACCCAGAATATGGTTCCCAGAAGCTAAATGCCTACTGAGATTCTCTGTCATCCAACTCACGTTGTCCCAAAGGTGCTTTTTTTTTACTTCAGGAGGCAACTGGATTTTCTTGGTTTTTGTTTTGAAGACGTTTTGCTTCTCCTCCAAAACGCTTCTTCAGTTCTGACTGGATGAGGATGGGGAAGGATTGATACTCCTTGCAGACAGCTGGTCATTTGCATCTTTTTTTAGAGGGCCGTTGAGGCCACTTGGAGGTTTGTCTGTGTCCTCAGAGTCACCTGAGTGGGGCTAAGAGGTGTGGAGCCTTGGAACTGTTGAAAGGGCTGGGTTGTAGAAGGCTGCACACCCATTGGCACCACTCTCGGGATTCTGAGGACACAGAGAAACCTCCAAGTGGCCTCAACGGCTCTCTAAAAGGATGCAAACAGCCAGCTCTCTGCAAGGAGCATAAAATCTTTCCATTCCCCACCTTCATCCAGTCAGAGTGGAAGAAGCTTTTTGGATGAGAAGTGAAACATCTTCAGAGAAAAAGATGTTCCCTCTCACTATAATCTTCCTTCCTTCTTTTTCCTTCCTTCCTTTCCTTTTCTTTCCTTCCCTCTTCATTCTCTGTTCTTCTTCCCATCTTTCCTTCTTTTTTCTTCCTTTCCTTTCTTTCCTTCTTTTTCCTTCCCTCTTCATTCTGTTCTTCCTCCTTCCCCTCTTTCCTTCTTTCCTTCTTTTTCCTTCCCTCTTCATTCTGTTCTTCCTCCTTCCCCTCTTTCCTTCTTTCCTTCTTTTTCCTTCCCTCTTCA